TGCTTAAGTCACCTCCCCTGAGATGATTTAACTGCACTTCTCCCATAAGGAATGAATGACAGGATCTAGTCTGAGGCTGCTGAATTCCATGAGGCAGGAGAAACACACCCAGAACTTCAACTCAGCAAACCTCAGCAACTGTGCCCTGGCCATAGACAAAAGCAAAGCTTCAAACACCTAAGAGTAGCTTTGCCAGAAATCTGAGGATTACAGGGTATTCCAAGTGTCTAAAGAGGTTGTGTGACACATTATTTTGGAAGGCATCTCTGAACACACAGTTTTGAAACTCAAGTCAAATTTTTGTCTCCTCAGTATAGTTTTTTTGTTTGTATCCTTGAGTAGATGCACAGGACTTTTCTTTACAGGTTTTTCAAGCAGACTACAAATGAGCATGGTAATTCTCTTTGTTAGCAGATTTCCTTGTAGTGCTTGATGTTTACTAAAAATAAAAAGTGCTTGCGCACTTGGATATGTTGTGAGAGGTATGGCTTTTTTCTATTTAGAAGTTAATTTAATATTCTAATAGTGGAAGAATCAAGATAGTCTGCTTATAGGGTTTCCACAGAGCATCTCAAAGGGTATACAGAACAAAGAAAGGCCAAAAACTAAAGGAACAAACAGCTCTATCCATCCAAGACCATCTCTTTTTCTTTTGAGCACAAAGGTAAAAACCTGTGTAGCTGTGAACAGTAGTTTTCAGCTGCTTTTAAAAATTCTTTTTTAATCAGATATCCTTTAGCCACACTTCAAAACTCTCCACAAATGTCTCTCAGAAATAAAAGGAAATTCAGAAGCTTTCTCCACCAGTAAACCACAGTAGCACTGAAAGTCTTAATTCCCTACAAAAAATGTGGTACTTCTTAAACAAGTAGTTGAAAAATGATCAGGACTGCTTTTAAAATTAATTTGCTACAACTTTTTGTGTAGTAAACTAACAGATATTCATTTAAATAAGAAGACACAATTTTATTTACTTGAGCACTGATCTCATCCAAAATTTAATCTTGTAACTGTGATCGTGCCATCAGGGCATGGCAACCTAGTTTCCAAGATACAGGTAAAGAGAAATCTCTGCTTTCAACTGAGACTTTTCTTTCACTTCTTAACAAAAAAATAGCAAATTAAAAATACTTGTAGATCCAAAATTTGGGAGGCACCCAGTTCATACTAACTGGGATAAGGTCAAAATACCAACTACACCAGAAAATTCATAACCAATTTCTGTTCTTACATTAGCACAAAAACTGATTAGTTCTACTAACACTGGTCCACTTATACAGAGTTATTCTAATGTTACTGCATCATGTTGTCTTTGAAGCTGTATTACATATTTTCCCTGATAATTCCTTGAATGTGCAATGTGAAATGTAAATACAAGGGTAATTCATAGAGAAAAATGAATGGGCTGCAATAAAACGGTGGTAAAATACTTTGTTGCATGAGATTTTGCTGAAAACCATAAATCACAAGAGCAAAGCTAATTTCAGAAAAGTTGTGGCTGTTGTTATGTTCTGCTTGAGTTTTTGTTACTGTATCAAAGTATTTGAAGAATACTTTAATCTTTAAAACAATATTTTTCAAAAGGCCAATCAAACCTTGAAAGAACCACTTTAGATTAAAAAGTAGACTTTTGAAAAAGCTGCTTGTGCTGGCAATAAAAATGTTCCTTACCCAAGTATGAAAAAATGTAAAATGTCATTTATTCTTCATTGTAAGTGGTAGGAGATATTTACTTTTTGATATGTTCAAAGTGATGATGGAATTGGAGTCCACTATCAATCCCTGATAGCTGCAAAGCCTTTCAAGTGACAGCCTGACACAGTGCTGATAAATTCTACATTGCTTTGGAGAAACTTGTAACTAATATTAACTTTAGTTGTGCTCTTTTTCTTAGCACATCTCCTAAATGTCATTCTGTCTAGATGCTGATGCACAATGGCCCATCTGGGCAACTCTGGCCTCGCTGACTCTGCTTGTAAACCAGGCTTCAAAAAAGAAATCTCAGCAGAGGTGTTCTCATTCTGTTTTCCACTTAGTATTTCATTTGGTTCATTTTGACCACAGTGAAAAAAAAAACTTTTTCTACATACTGAAGGAAAAAGCAGTCTAAGAAGTTCTTGATATTGGTTTGACTATTCATGCACAATCCTAAATAAAATAATTTCACTAGTGCTGGGTTGGGGAGGGAAAGGGGAGTTGTACATTTTGAAGATTATTCTTTCAAAAGTCCTTTCTTTTTCCCCCAGCGTGTAACTGTGGAGGGAGAATGTGTGACAGCCAGACTGGAGAATGCCTCGCAGACAGCCCTGAAGCTTCTACTGACACAGACTGCCCAACCATCAGTAAGAACATTATCACAAGAATACCAAAAATATCACTCTTGTACTTAGAAGCTTACAAATACTAGCTTAGGAGCTCGGTACTCCAGTGGATTCACGACTTTGACCTTGGTCCCAAAGAGCATTTAAATTTGGGAATATACGCAATGACCTGATTGAGTATTTAAATATGTTCTCACACAATTGTTTGAGTATCTGGGTACGTCCAACTTTGCAATACAGACTGCATGTTCAGGTACAAGCTGCAGGGC